CGGGGGAGTGGGGGCAGGCGGTGCGGCCTGTGCCGGGAAGGGGCCTGCGGGGGGGCTGAGGCCTCTGGGGCCCGTGATGGGACCCGGGGCTTGCAACGGGAGGAGGGGCTGCCCCAGGACGGGGGAAGCCGGGGGGAGGTTGCTGGAGGGACCTGCAATGGCCGGGGGGGGCTTGGGGGTTGTTAAAGAGGCTCCAGTGGCAGGGGAATGGGGGGGGAGGTGGAAGGGGAATTTGGGGGAGATGTAGGAGGAGCCTGCAGTGGTGGGGTGGGGCACACGAGGGATGTTCCAGAAAGGCGGGTTTGGGCTGAGGGGGACACATAGAGGGAGGGACCTGAGGTGTTTGCTGAGAGGGGGGAAGAGGGATGCTTTGAAAAGGCTGCCGGGGCGGTTGGCTTTGAGAGGGAGAGTTTGGCCTGTGAGCAATGTGGAGCAGAGTCGTTCTGGAGGTGTTTTGAGTGAGGCTGTCTGCATTCTCAGTCCATCCAGATAGTCCCCCTATGCACTCTGTCTCTTGCTTTGTGCTGCTCTGCTGTAGGCACCATCTGATTCCTGTCTTGCACTCTCTCCCCAGGCTATAAGATCCCTGTTATTGAGAACTTGGGTGCCACTCTGGACCAATTTGATGCAATTGATTTCTCCGACAATGAGATCCGTAAACTGGATGGATTCCCTCTATTGAGAAGGCTGAAAACTCTTCTGATGAATAACAATAGGATTTGGTAAGTGGCTGTATTTTGGCTAGATGGGGCCCTTGCATGGAGGAAAGTGTTCTTGGGAGAGAAGTGTGCGTGCAACTTGCAGTGCTGGGTAGGTGTAGAAGTGTTTGGTTTATGAAAAAAAAAAAAATCAGCACTGAGCACTGTATAGGTCCTCTTTGAGTTTCCTGCCTTGTTCGGCACAAAAGTCAGCCTTTGTTTTTCAGACAGGACAATGAGATGCAAAGTTTGGAATTTGGCCAGAACTTTGGATTTCAGTAATCATTCCCATAAAGACAAGAAAACTGGGATATCTGAAAGTGAATGAACATAAATCTTGTATTGCACCTAATAATCTTACAGCGATGGCTGGCATTTATTGCCAGCTTTATTAGGAAAAGTATTGTAATGGATGCTAACCCAAACTTCTGACAGTGTCAGACTGGGTTATTTTACAGGGGGATCCTCTATGTTACCGTATTTCTGCATGTCTTTTCACCGTTGGTAATTTCTGGCCTAAGTTAAACCTTTGGGTTTTGTTCTTCTTTAGTCGGATTGGTGAAAGCCTTGAACAGGCTCTGCCCAGCCTGACGGAGCTCATTCTTACCAACAACAACATTGCTGAATTGGTAAGCTATCAATGCAGGATAAATCTAAACAAGCTTAAATTTTGTGTTTGTCATCTTTCTAATTAACCTTTTTCCTGAGAGTAGTGTCATATGCTTTTGGTAATAGTTCATTCTTTTTCTTTAGAGTATTATCTTATGGTTTAGGTAGTAGTTAATGGTGTACATATTTTAATGAACATGATTTGCAGCATGCAGTGGAACAGCAGTCACAAAGTCTTAGTAGGTTTCCTGTTAAACTAATTGCAGTAGTTCTAATTAGTACCAGTTAGTAATTCTAATTGGTCTCTAAAATAGATATGAGTTCAGGAACTTTGTTTTCAAATGTTTGATTTTCACTAAATGGACTTAGGATTTCTTACTGTGTTCCCATTACGTAGGGTGAACTGGATCCGTTATCAACTATTAAATCATTGACTTACCTGAGGTATGTAATCATGAAGAGAAAAGCTACTCTTTCTCTGCTGGCCTGGCTCTTTGCTTTGATCTGGAATGCTCTCCTTTTTATCAGCTGTGACAGATTCTTTATGTCTAAAAATTGAATCGATAAACAATGTTTCCACTACACTTCAGAAATACCTGGTATTTAAGGGGTGAGGCTTTATATTACTGACAGACAGACCAATGAGATGTAAAATCTCTATAAACCAATACGCAAGCATTGAAGTAACCTTAAGCTTTAAAAACCTAGAACCCAAAGGTTTAAACTGTTGTTACAAAATACTTTAAAATACACGTAAACAATAACTTTTCAGTAATGTTACATTCCATGTGAGGGACAAAAAAAGAAAAGCAATTTGTCCTGTGATTTTTCAGTTGATCAGAGTCCAGGTAGGAAATGTGAAGGTTTAGTTATTTGTTGGGTTTTTTTAAAATATTTTGATGTTATTCTTTATGTTCTTCTTCAGTAAAATCTACTTAACTGATAAAATAAAGTGCAAGTTTTTACTATAATTTTCAAAATACGAAAGAACACTGTCACTAGGCTTATTTAATGGTCTTTCTGTTATAGCAGGAGGTACAGGAATGCATTTTTAAAATATATTTCAAGTGCGCAGAACCTCTTTATAACCTTTATTTACTTTGTAGCATTTTAAGGAATCCTGTAACAAATAAGAAGCATTACAGATTGTATGTAATCCACAAAGTTCCCCAGGTCAGAGTGCTGGATTTTCAAAAAGTGAAACTCAAAGTAAGTCTACTTTCTTTTGATTCAGCACAAGATGAATACCTTTTTTTTTCTTGTTACATTCTTGAAAATTCAGTGGTAACAGTGAGCTTTTTGCCGTAGTTGTGAATTTTATTGAAACTATATATCATAAGTGGCTCTAAAACATGCTGTTTGTTTTCTTTCATGGTTTCATTCTGTTAAGGATATAGTCTGTTTAATTACATTTAATTAAGTTTTACTACCTTTGCTTGTTTAGTCTGATTTTTTTCTGGCCCTCTGGTGTTGGTAGAAAGACAGACCTCTAGAGAAAGGAATGAGCAATCGCAACAGAGCCCTCTGCTTTCAGTGAAGATGAGTGTGGGAAAGAGTTCTTACTTTTAAGAGCACTAGGTTGATACGCCTTGAGTCTGAGCCTTTGGGCAATGTTTATGTGCTTGTTCTTACATCTGGTCTCCACATACCAATGTTCACTGATGAAGATGAGCCAAAGCATCTTTCTTTGCAAAGACAGAAGCTTTGCAAAATGCAATGTTCTTAAATTAACTTTGTGTGTGTGGTATCGCTGTAGGAGCGACAGGAGGCAGAGAAAATGTTCAAGGGCAAACGGGGTGCACAGCTTGCAAAGGATATTGCCAGGAGATCAAAAACGTAAGATAAAAAAAACAAATTTACACTGGCATTCTCCTTCAGAAACACCACTTTCTTTGTGTGCGGTATTAGGCAGCAAACTGAAATAGCTACTGGCAGGATGCCTTGAAAGATTTGGTAGCCAGAAGTACCTTGTCCAAGCATCCCTATTTTTGGATGGTGGTGAATACATCTCAGAAATATTTTTGAAAGAGATATTGGGTCAGGGTGGATTGATTTAAGTCAGCAAGCAGGAAACCTTAATTTGACTTTTTTCTTTTTGTTATTTAACTGTAGAGAGGTGGCCATTGTTTATTTTGGGTTGGTTGTGGAGTTTTTTTCCCCCTAGATGATTGGTAACTAAAATTTTTTGTTTTGCCAGGACATACAAACTGTAAAATCTGATGTAGTTAGGAGGATAAATGCAGATGAAAATCTTTAGTTAAGCTATTACAAATATATGTTTATTTAGTTTAATTCTTAAGTGGTGCATCATATGTTTTGTTTAATCTTTCATCAGCCCGTTTGGAAGTCAGAATTCGGATCATGTATAGCAACAGCATTTCCAAATTCATAGTTAAATTAAAAAAACCCTTGAAGGTATTTAGCATTTAAAACTGTAACAGATGGACTCTAGCTCTAGTTTATGAGTGGAAAGGAGTTCAAGTCTGTGATAGTTTTTAGAACAAGTAGGTGATTGAACTAAATAGCTCAATAAACAGATATGAAGAAAATCTTTCTATAGCTGCAGAAGAGGTTGCAGTACTCTGATGCTGGGTCAGCACTTCAGGAAATTCTTTCCAGTTGATTACATCCATTTTCACAGACTACAGATTTTTCTTTTTTTTTTTTTTTTTTTTTTTTTTTTAAAAAGCAGCAGCTAACCTTTTTCTTTTGAGTGTTAAGATTACGTCCGGTCTAGTGTAGGCTTTAATATAGGCTGTTGTAATATCATACTAGACATACAAGAACAGGAAACCCTATTTCAGTTACTCTGTATTTATCCACCCTGCTTTTGTAGTGGCAACAGCCCACCTTGAGTGTTCAACAACATCCAAATTGAACAGCTTTTGTCAATGGCTTAATTTATAAAGTTAAGGTCTGCCTCTCTTTATGAGCAGATGAAAAGGGGGGCGGGAAATGGGACAGCAAGGACAAGTTGCTGGTGTTTCTGAAGGAGGTAATTCTTCACTGTATCAGTTTGTTAACAAAGATAAGATACTACACTTGATTGAATGAAATGCTTCCAAACCTAGTTTGGAAGTTAGAGAAGCACATACTCTTCAAAGGGTGTAATGGGCCTTTATTTTTCCTTTGAAGCTTCAATCCAGGTGCTGGTCTGCCAACTGACAAAAAGAAAGCTGGGCCCTCCCCAGGGGATGTTGAGGCAATTAAGGTAAATATGTCAGGATAGCACGTGCAGGCAAAACTGGAGGAGAAAAACGGTCATGGATCCAAACTGAACAAATGTTTGCTTCCTCCTGGCTACTGCTGACTCTGTTCAGACGAATAGAGCGGTGTGTCCTAACTTTGGTTTAGGTGCTTTTTCTATCATTTTTCTTCTGTTATGACTTATCTGGTTTTTGAGAGTTTAAATGTAACGTTGGTCTTAGCTTAAGAATTCTCCCAGGATACAGCAGCTTGTTTAATAGGGGGGGGAGCGGGAAAGAGTGAGATTGTGCTTTGTCCTTTGTAGAATTTTGTAGAACTTTCTATAGAAGCTTAGCGTCACTTGACTGGAAAAAATCTTGTTCTTATGTTCATTCTAAACAGACTGACATACTGTATGTGAAGATTCATTGTATTCTTTTGTCTGTTTTTTAGACTGCTATAGCAAATGCCACGACTTTGGCTGAAGTGGAGCGACTGAAAGGCTTACTACAGGCTGGTCAGATTCCTGGCAGAGAACGAAAATCAGGTCACTCTATACTTATATTATGTTCATTTCCCAGATAGAATCTACCTCTCTTTATTGCTTCCTGAGGTTTTATGCGATCTCAGGGAGTTACATTGGAAGGACCAAGGAGTTAGGGAGTTGAAAAAACTTTATAATGAGTGTAACTTTATCATCAGAATGACTGTGGACCATATCCATAAGGCTCTGTGACTGGAGTATTATCTGCCTGGCCTCTAGTGTGCAGTTCAGGGGTGTTACCTGGACTCCCTTGAGAGCAAGGTGCCAAACGTCAGCCCCAAGTGCTTCACTGTATTGGCTAACTCCTGAACAGTTCATGCCAGTTATCTTATAAAAAAAAAAAAAAAAAAAGAGATTAATTACAAAGTATATCTGGACTCTGTTGTTCTGGGCGTTAGTGCCTCCGGGGGCGGTACAGAAGTGTGTCTCCGAGAGGTCTCTGCATGGACAAATCTTAACTGCAGGCTGGCAGTATTGCCTGTTTTCTGTACATTAGCGCTAGGCAGATTTTTCTTTCTGTAGTGTTTTTTAAGAGTTCATGTTACTACTGCCGCTCTTCAGAGGGGTGAAGATGAATGCGTTCTGTGCAGGAAAGAAAACATGACGTTTTGCCATAACTGCCCCTAAAACTCTTGACGTGTCCTTTCAGGCCCCTCGGAGGACGCTGAAGAAGAAATGGAAGAAGACACGGTTCCCAACGGATCTTAGGCGCAGGCCCTGCCCGAGCTCCATCGCGTCTCCCCACCAGCCCCCTCCTGCCGACCCGCTCTTCTCCCTCCAGCGGGGCTCAGCCCCCCCCGCCCCCCGTACCCTCTCCTCGCTCATTTCGGCGTTCAATAAACGAACGTTTCCTTTTTCTCCCCTTGGTGCGGCGTCCCCTGCCCCGGCCGAGCGCCGGGC